CATCCGATGGTATAAACATGCGGAAACACTTGCAATTAAAAGCAAACAAAGACCCAACCACTTTTATTTCATGAATTGCACTTGCTGTGTGAGAACAAGCATGAACAAACCAAAGGTACATGTTTGATGCCGACCATTCCCATTCTGGGATGCTGTGTGTTTTCATACAACCCTCAAGAAGTTCCAGAACAAACAAAAAACAACATCTCAAATGTTCTGCAAAATTATCACATCAAAGCAGAAGCTGCGGGGATGTTTTCACCATGTTTTCACCATATTTTTGAAAACAAAAACATACATATACACAGAGAGCGTGTTTTTTGCATGGGTTTTGACCACATCAGACCACATCCTAAAAGTTTTCAAAGTCTTCCCCATTTAGAAGCCTTATAAGTCCCATTTCAAAGTCGTTTTGTATAAGTCATCCTGATAGTTTTAGCCCACGCCTAAACAACTGACACCTACAAACACCGACGGCACCTCCTCCCATTTCGCTTGGCTCAGCCTCCGGGTCAGGGCGATCAAATCTGCTGGGGGGCCTAAGGAAGGCGAAGGAAGGCGAAGAGGTGGGATCAAAGGTGATCAAACTCCGATTTTTGGATGATTTATTTATTTGGTTCGTTATTAAAAAAACTGATTGTAATATCTGAGTTAAGAAAAACTATGATGGATTTATTTACGGATTTGTTTGTTTTAAAAACTATGCTGAACTATGATGAACAAAAAACACATGGATCGATTATACGTCATCAAGCTATGGATTCTTATATTGTTTGTTGATGGCTAGTGTTTTTTTTTGGGATGCGTATATAGAAGTTGTTAAATATTTAGGGATTTGGGAATCACAAGAACTGTGATTTGAACTCGGGGGCTGGAGAATAGGTTCTTATTTGCATTTGTTACCACTGAACACTCCAACAATGATGATTGTAGCTTTTAATTTGAGGGTTTGCAGTAACACTCATTGATGTATTAAATCCAAAAGTACGCCATTCCCAACTAGAAATGTATGGTGAATAACCGTCCCCGATATCCCGATGAAGCATTCATAGGGGGGAGAAGTTGGCTAAGCCTAGTGGTACACTGACCGATTTCCATGACTTGGTCATAATTTACCGATACACCATATGCTCCCACAGTATCCAATATTTACCTACATTTGGGTGATTTTATGTGATTTTGGTGCTGAATCTTGGCACATGTTCCCTACATGCAGTGTATGGGTAGAAAAGGTTGAAGTATCCAGTCTCCCTTGGTGACACTTCGTGGCTCCAGGCTTCGCCCTTGCTCCCAGTGCCCGTTCCAGGTTCCCTTGCATTGTCGACATTGCATGGCACATGGAGCCGAAGAGACGTACCATGGAACCATAGGGGAGGATGTTTCATCTGCTTATGAAGATCAAAAAACCTGCATTTTTGTTGATTGTTTGCCCCTGGAAAAAACCTATGAACTTTATGAACTCCCCTAATCATGAGAAATATCATACATTTATTGCCCAAGTTATACCAGTTATAAGTACTGAACTAACCCCATAGACATCGATATTTATGGGATGTATCATCCCATTGAAATAACCAGTTTTAATTATCACTGACAAATGGCCATTTTCTGTATATAACTGTGACATCTTGAAGTCACAGAAACAACGCCGATGATTTCTGAGGATCACATAGGATCACTGGCAGATCACTGGCAGATCTGAGGAGTTGGCGTAGCCAAACCCAAGAACAAGCGATAGATCATGATAGATCATGATAGATCTATACCATAAATATCCAACAGTTTTTTTTTCTGACATCAAGAAACACTTCGCAAAGGATTTGGTATCGGCTTGGCATCTAGCCCTGCCCTTCAGCAGATTTTCTACATTTTGGCACTAGTGTTTTTTTGTTGCACGTAGGATTAGAGCAGTGGGAAGTGTGGGGCGTAAAGAGTGCACTGTGAAGTGTGAAGTGTGAAGGAAGCAGTGGGAAGTGAGAAGTGTGAAGTGTGGAGTGTGAAGTGTGAAGTGTGAAGTTTGGAGTGCGAAGCGCGCAGTGTGAAGTGTGAAGTGTGAAATGTGAGATTTGGAGTGTGAAGGAAGCAGTGGGAAGTGAGAAGTGTGAAGTGTGGACTGTGAAGTGTGAAGTGTGAAGTGTGGAGTGTGAAGTTTTAGTTTGGAGTGCGAAGAGCGCAGTGTGAAGTGTGAAGTGTGAGGTTTGGAGTGTGAAGGAAGCAGTGAGAAATGAGAAGTGTGGAGTGTGAGTGTGAAGTGTGGAGTGTGAAGTGTGGAAGAAGTGTGAAGTGTGAAGTGTGAGGTTGGAGTGTGAAGGAAGCAGTGAGAAGTGTGAAGTGTGGACTGTGAAGTGTGAAGTGTGGAGTGTGAAGTGTTTGGAAAGAGCGCAGTGTGAAGTGTGAAGTGTGAAGTGTGAGGTTTGGAGTGTGAAGGAAGCAGTGAGAAGTGAGAAGTGTGGAGTGTGAAGTGTGAAGTGTGAAGTTTGAAGTTTGGAGCGCGAAGAGTGCAGTGTGCAGTGTGAGGTGTGGAGTGTCGAGGGAAGGACACGGTCGGGACAGGTTGTCTTTGAACTATAGGTCATTTATGTTTGGGAAACTTCCGCCGCCGGCTTGCCCGGCTCTATGTTAATGATATACATATATGTAGCCATAAAATATATATATATATATATCCAAGATTGGGAGATACAACGGGGAAAGGACTCAACAGATTGGGTGGGAAGATCATTGGGACCTTACCATTTGCATCGCCAGTCTCTCTGAGAGTCCCACGTTCCATAAAGGGATCCATGGAGGTTCATCGCTATGGTCGCTGGGTCCGACTGCTGAAGAGTTGGATAGAGGTGCTATTAATTTTTTCCAGGGTGCAGAGTGAGACCACAAATGCGCGGATAATTTTGCTACAAGGAAATCATATGTCATGATTATGCATGATTTCTGAGGTGTCATGCAAACAAACGCCATAAGAGAAGTTCAATATTCCCAAACATCGCATAATGTGACAAACCCAAGGCCATAAACTGCATCCCCAAAATCACCATAAATCATCATAAATGGCTTCTATAAACCAGCCCGCACGGTAGGGGCATTAGGTTTACCTTGGTTTACCTCACAAGAAACCACTTAAGAAACATCAAGAATCTGCCGATCGAATTTCCAAGCAACCAGAGACGGTCATTTTCTTGGGGCTTGACATTGTGCATCTAGGTCTGAAATAGGAACATTTGATTGCATTGGTTTAAAACTTGGTTTACCCTCTGGTGAACATACAAAAAGCTGTTGAAAATGACCATTGAAATATGGATTTTCCATGATTTTCCCATTAAAAATGGTGGATCTTTCCATTGCTATCTGGCTGTTCACCAGAGGGTAAACATGTTAAAACAACATATTCCCTACTGAGGCTGCCAGAACTTGGGGGTTCGATACCATTCTCAGACCCATGTGTTGTCAAGATATTTCCAGCAACCTTCAGCAGGAAACCCTCTGGTCGAACAGAGCTATGACCCGTTTGTAGCTGGAAAAAACCGATGATTCTAATCGCAATGGTCCAAACTGTTATGGTGATTACATTTGCCATCTATATACCTCCTTTTTTCTGTGGTACTGTAATTTGACATGATTTCTCGATAGCTAACTGGCCAGCTTCACCAGCAAGATCTATCAATGACTTGTCAATCACCATCAATGATCATATGCTAGATGGGAGATGGTAAATCCTCATTGTTTCTGGTTGGTGGTTGACATACCCCTCTGAAAAATATGAGTCAGTTGGGATGATTCTTCCCAATGTATAGAAAAATAAAAAATGTTCGAAAGCACAAACCAGGTTTGCTTGTTAAGTTCATTTCTTTGCAGTGTTGTTTCCTTTCCTTTCTTTCTTCCCTTCTTTTTGGGCCCTGACTTTGCCTGGAACCTGGTGTTAAAACTGCAGCGGATAGCACCGCCGGATGGGTAACCCTTGAAAAAAAAGATTTTCCAAAAAATGAACCCCACCGGCGTTTTCTTTTACTAAGTGGGTAGGTAGGACATGTGTAGATGTGATACGTGTGGATGTGAAGTGTGTAGGTGTAAGATGTGTGTGTGTGTCACATGTCTAGACATTATGTAGATAGATGAGCCATTCTGAAAGCCTTCAGTCACTCCCTATGTCGTATCATTTTGGGTATGCCAAAGCTTATGCCATGCTTACGCGCGTAGAGTTTTTCCTTACGCGAAACAAATTGAGGAAGCCCTTACGCGAAGTTCTTACGCGGCCTTACGCAAGTGAGGGTTTTGCTTACGCCAAACAGGTTATCACAAGGCCCTTGCTGAAAATGTAAAGGGATGTTTTTAGAGCAGCTCAGATGTGAATTGTGAGATTTGTAGGTCTGTGTATATGTGTATATATATATATATACAATGATGCCCCGTGCGCAGTTTTTGTTACATGTACAGCTGTGAGATATGTTCAGATGCAAACACCTGTAAACACCTGCTTTTAAAGAACCATAACCATCAACATCAATTGGGCAGTGTTTAACATCCTCAGCCCTCTATACTGGGTACTTAGTACTGTAGGATTTCCCTAGATTATGATCATCTCTGGATAGGTAGGTATACGGTAGGTATGAAAATGTTTGCTATGTATAATGGGTGCTACTAATTTGCAAAATGGTGATGAAATAACGTATAAAAAATACTTATGTTTATTAGCATGACGATGATAACTTCCCAGAAATGTCGGGTGATTAACGAAAACTTGCACATACGGGGCACAATTTCTGTGAAAAGTGTCGCAACTTACTTATGATCACAACTTACTTATGATCACAAACGTAGAATTTCTCTTACTTGAAAAGTGTCCCATAAGTTGCGGCAAGAAAAATGAAATCCAAAATTGAAATTTCAGACGGGTCGTCCCCCCATTGATTTCATTTTTAAACCCGTGCCCATATATATATATATCACTACTGACATGACCTTAAACTATAGACCTATGGAACTTCAACGTTCCCCAACGGTGCCTGCCCGCGCATGTAGCGCGGATGGTACTTGATGTCATGAATCTCCATGTCCTCCACCGAGAGGAATCATGGAAAAAATGCCAAACTATGAGGGTGTCTATAGTCATGGGGGTACCCGAAAGTGAATGGTTTGTAATGGAACATCCTACAAAAATGCATGATCTGGGGGTACCCCCCATTTTAGGAAACCTCCATATGGAAACATTTGAAATCATATTTATTTTTGTCCAATAAATCACAGATGTCAAGCATGAAACATATGGAACATTGTGATTTAACTCTGATTGCAGTCTCCCATATGTCGCTGGGTTGCAAAAATATGCAAAAATGCTGTCAACCAAATTTTGGAAAAAAACGTTAGGATGCAGATTCTGTAGATGCCAACGTCAGCCAAACATCACCCGCTTTACATACCAGCAACTGCTCGAAAGGTGGTCTGGATTAGGCTCTGGCGGTATACCCCCCCCCAAATATGTCCAAATTGTCATGTCAATAGGGAAAATGATAGTTGACCGAGGAATTTGGAGGGAACCCTGTTTTTTTTAAATATGTTCTGTCTAAAGCAAACCCTTATCTTGTAATGCTCCATACTAGTCCTTCTTGTTGGGGCCGGGTTCCAAACTACTGCCCCATCAAGTTACCCATGGGCGATCAAATTTTACAGAACGCAGTCGACTTGCACAAACCCTGGCAATATCAATTTGCATTCATCTTGATAGTAGGTCACCTCAATCTGAACAAATATATGATTATCATTGAATGAAATATATTCGAAGGAAGTTTAGAAGTCAAACTTCCGACAATATGGACAAATGAAAAGCAGAGATGGGAAGAGTCAGCGAGGAGAAGAGAATAGAGAACAAAAAACACACGATTCTCAGACCACTTTTGGAAGTTGAGATGTTGAAAAGTGCACGCAGTTGTGGCGCGAAGCACATGTCCAAGTCAAAATGCGCAAGACACACCAGGTTTGGAGCACTTTTGGCAGTTGAGTGCACGCCGTTGTGGCGCGAAGCACATTTCCAAGCCAAAATGTTAAAAGCACCACATTATCGGACCACTTTTGGACGTTTCGCGTGGCAGGCGCAAAGGATTGCGCACCTTGTCAAAAGCGAGCAAAACGTGAGGATTTTTGTGGCATTTCCCAAAACGATGGCAGGAGTGGGACATTTGAAGGTGCATTTTCCATGGCAGGCGCAGTACAAGAGACATGTTCATCAGAGATGTTAGGAGGTCAGGGCGCTGATTTCCTGAGAGGGGTTGCATTTTGGAGCATCACATCTACAGGTTTGCTGAGATGATTTTGCGCGACAGTGCAGCACTTTGTATGACTTGGCGTCACTTTTTCGTGGCAGGCGCAGTACTTTAGACAAATGAAGCGGGAAAATCGCAAAACACATTGGTACGAGGCCGTCAGCTCCGCACTCCACTTTCCATTTTTGAAGGAAGTCTCGCAGAATTGTTTCGTTTTTGATGTTGTCAATTTCGAAAGTTGAGGAAGTCTCGCAGAATAGCTTCGTTTTCAAGCTTGCAGATAAACAAATAGATAGATAGCCAAATAGATAGAAAGACAGCTACATAGACAGATAGCAGACAGATAGGTAGATAGATAGACAGATAGATATAGACAAATAGACAGATAGGTAGATAGATAGGCAGATAAATAGATCGACAGGTAGATGGACAGATAGATAGGTAGACCCATAGGTAGACTGATGGGCAGATAGATAGACAGATACTAGTAGATAGAAAGACAGATAGATAGACAGACAGATAGACAGACAGATAGATACAAAGACAGATAGGTAGGCAGATAGACAGACAAACAGACAAACAAACAGACAAACAGACAAACAAACAGACAAACAGACAGATAGACAGATAGACAGATAGACAGACACTCCCACCTTTCGGTCCATCAGTGGATTCGCTCTGCCATCCGTGATTCACAGCAACCAACCTCTCCTATAGGTTTCCTATTTTTGAAACTTCCGCCACCGCCTTGTGCGGTACTACTGGTATATAAACACCAATCTACCAACTTGACTTTTCGGTCAGGTTATGTCATTTTTGGGCTACTTTCCCTTACCCATCATCTCTAGAAACCTTGTTGTGCGCGCCTCATATTTTTCCTGATATATACCACCATCAAGGCTTGCCACATCAATGATTGGCCTCGGAGCAAGGAGGATCTGGGGCAATTTTCGTCCCAAAATGCGTCCCCCCAAAACGTAACAACGGCAAAGATACAATGATGAAATGTAGCTTGTTGGCATCATCCCCCAAAAAATGTCATGACTTTCCGAACACATTAGTACTATGAACATCTATGAACCAAGGGAAATAGTGTGCCTGACCAAAGCTAATTTCGATGTGTTTGGATGGGACTGGTCCACTAGTCAGCCAAAAACATCGGCCATTTAGTTCCTTGATTTGCCGAACTTAAAGATGTTGATTTTCCAGAAAGCTTTTTGTATGTTTACCAGAGAGGATCCAGAGGCTACCCTCTGGTAATTTAACATAACTATGGAAAATCACAATTTTTAATGGGAAAATCCACTATAAATGGCCATTTTCAATAGCTATGTTAGTTTACCAGAGGCTAAGTCAGCCTTAACACATCCAATAATTAGCACTGGAAAACCAGGGCGGACGACTGGTCAAATCTCAAATCGGATCTCTGGGGCGGCAGCGGTGGCTTTCCATCAAGACCAATGGAACGAGCCAGAGCCTGCGGATTCAGGTCTTCACCGTGAAGGGTATTTTAGTGTTTCATCTACCCTCTGGTAATTTAACGTAGCTATTGAACATGGCCATTTATAATGAGTTTTCCCATCAAAAATGGTGATTTTCCATAGCTATGTTAGTTTACCAGGGGGTATCCAAATTGAGGATCCAAACACTATGGATTAAGATTCACCTATCCAAATTAATTCCAAATTGAGAATCTTAGTGTTTCATGAGTTCATCTCAATGAGATAAATATAGATAAATATAGGTCCTAATGGGATTTGATCGGATGGATCACCAAGCATATTTAAAAATTAGGGTATACCTACATATGGTTTCGGTATGTTGCGGATATTTCTCATGAGGAAACTGATGATCAACTATGGGCCTTTCAGATAAACCCATCCTTCGTTTAAACCTGATTTGTAGAAACTTTGCAACAAAACACCAAACATAGCCTAATAGCTATGCAGTCATGATCTTAATGCACCTGGCACCACGGGTTTTCATGAACATATGAAGCTAACAGTGCCAAAGCATGGTCAGTCTATGTCAGCCATGGTCAATCATGGACAATCTGTTGCTTGAGTCGTAAATAGAAAGAAATTACATAGTTTCCTATGGACACCACCAACACCCAAACATTCAATGCTTGACACAATTATAAGGCTGGCACTCTCGAGCACCCAACATGCACTGATATCCATTTATATCAACTTTATATCCACTAATATCCCTCACGATTTATCAAAAACCAACAGCGCTTGCAGCTCGCGCCCCCCACCTTGGCACCCCGCAGCAGTGCTGTCAAGGCCTGTGGCAGTTCCGGTGGAGGGCCTGGCGATGCGGCCGTTTTCGGAGGGGAAGATATGATGATGGGATGAGAACTAAAGATAAACATGTGGGAATATAGGATTTACTGGGATTTATATATGGGATTTATATATGGGATTTTAATTGGGATCTAATGGGACTTAATGGGAATGCAGTGGGAATATAGTGGGAATATACTGGGGTATTCCCTCTAGCCGTAATGGAAATATTGAGAGATAATGGGAATATGAAAACTGAAAAAAACAAACAAAATATATGGAATACAACATTGGGATATACACTGCACCATAGTATGCCTATGGGGTACATGTATATATACAGTATGTATATATACGCGCAACGCCTGGGTTTTGCCCAGGCGTTGCAGCGTAGGGGTTTCCCATTCCCAAACAAATGCTGATGCAACTTCACAAAATTCCTATGGGAAAAACAACAAGGGTACTAGGGAATATTAAACAGTTACTCCCGTTAAACCTTAAATTCCTATGGGAAAAACAACAAAGGTACTAGGGAATATTAAACTCCCAACCCCGTTAAACTTTACATTCAATTGGGAAGATCAACAAAGGTACTAGGGAATATATATATATATACATGCTTTTTTTCTATGGAATATATGTGGAAATATTGAGAACATCAGAATTAATGGAAGATGTGCGAATTATCCCAATATATGGAATATACCCTCCACCAAATTAACAGTTCGACCCTGAAAAGAGACACCAACTTTAGTGGAAAGTAATCTTCAAACCCTGACTCATGGCAGGGTTCATTGTTAATTTGGGAGTATATATATATATCCCTGCATTTGCGTGGTTTCACTCCAACAATTGCTCACATGTTGATAATTACATGTAATTACTGTATCTAAATGATCCCAGCACTATGGATGTTATGGGTACATACTGATACCTAGTCAAGCTTGGGAGTTAAGAACAGCATCCATTCACGCGGATGCGCCTACCATAGCTGTGCTCAACAATGGGCCTTCCTGGCGTCAGGGCATCAAGCTGGGAGGATTTTTTCAGGGGTCAACAGCTTCTCCAATTTCCAGAAAGTTCTGACATCGGCCATCGAAAACTCATGGATTGTACGAGTAAGCATAGGTTCTGCATGGTTCAGGGTTAATGGTAGTTACAAACCACATCAAACCACCAAACATTTCTGTGGGGCACCACCCTGCAACAGACCTCGATGAAGACCCGCTCTGGTGGAAGCAACTCACCTCAGCTGCAAGACATTGCAGCACATCCATCAAATTGGCTTCTCTTGTAAGATAATGTAACATATTCCTGTTTGGGTTTTGGTTGATTTTTGGGCGCAAAGTGAGTTTTAGCAGTGGTCAAACCCCAATGTGTCATTCCATTGTACTGTTTGGTTAAGAGGGATTCCCAGTTCATGCATGATGATAATCCCCAAAATAGAAAGGGTAGTATAACCCCCGAACTAATCATCAACCATCAGTGGTTTTGCAGGCACTGCCCGCATTATTTTCCCCAGTTTTCCAAATACCCTAATTGGAACAATTGGTTAGAATATATAGTTGTTTATCCCTGTTATATCTCCATTATATGCCCGTTGATTACCCTCTGGTACACTAATATAGCTATGGAAAATCATCATTTATAGATGATTTAGCTAATTGCAGCTAATTAAAAAGTGATTTTCCATAGTTTTTTGTATGTTTACTGATGGGTAAATCCCATTATATATTCCCATTAAATCCACTAAATCCCATGAAACCCATAAAATCCCATGAAACCCCACTAAATCCTATTGACATCCCATTAAATTCCCCATCAAATCCTATGATTTGTCGAGTGCAGCAATCGCGTTGGTACCAGATCGATCGCCCCTGGGGTCTCTACAGCTGCCAGGATAAGCGTGGTCAGTGACCTCAACGTGGGGCCAGGCAATCCTCGCAATCACAAAAGGCGCTTCGATCTATTAAACAAATACCCTCTGGTAAACTAACATAACTATGGAAAATCACATTTTTTTATGGGAAAATCCACTATAAGTGGTGATTTTCCATAGTTATGTTAGTTTACCAGAGGGTATCTAACTGTTCAATACTTGCTTTTTTTTAATGAACAAAAAAGGTTCCAAAAAGACACAAGAATTTGCCAGTCACCTATTTATAAGGGATTATATATAATCTCTAGTCATTATATCCCCTATTATGATAGTTAGAACAGTAACAGTAATTATATGTAATTAATACAATCCAGTCTAATCACCTATACCGCCACTATGATTACTATGATCATTGCTACAATACGTCTAATTATGATTATCATTATCATTACTACTATTGTCAATATTATAGTTGCTAATATGAACATGATTAGTAATAATATAGTAATTCCAATTATCATCATTGCTATAATCACTAGTATCATTATTTTTCATTGCTATAACCAATATTGTATTATTTTTTGTTAATGTATTATCGTTAGTATTGTTATAATACCATTACTAATATTACTAGTATTACATTACTAATGATAATTATAACCTCTGGTAATTTAACATAGCTATTGAACATGGCCATTTATAGTGAGTTTTCCCATTAATAGCATGGTGATTTTCCATAGTTTTTCGTATGTTTACCAGAGGGTAAAACCACCATTTTCCTATGGTGTTCCTATGATTTTCCCATAAAACCACCATTTTCCCATTTTCCATATGCTATCCCACTGGTCTCTAAGCTACTCCTATCACTAGTTATCGTTAACTGACCCGGCGCGGCTCGCCCAACTCGCCGAGCCGAGGGGCGATGGGCGTGACCCGATCAAACGGGAGCATGTAGGCGGCCATGGTCTGCAGGAGATCATACCAAAGAATTTTGAAGGGATCTTAATGGTAATTGAGTATGATCACCATGAAAAATCACCATTAAATCACCATTGAATCAATTAGATCATACCATTTTGAGGGGATTTTAATGGTGAATTGATGGGATTTTAATGGTGGATTAATGGTGATTCAATGGTGATTGAATTGGATACTAATAGGATTTTCATAGGACTTGATCTAATGGTGATTTAATGGGATCTAACAGGATTTTCATGGGATTTAATGAAATCCCTTGTCTGATTGTTGGTTGGTTAATCCCCATGATATTCTCATGTTATCCCCATTGCTGGTTAAATTCCATAGCCTCTGGTAATAACCAACACTATGGCAGCTATGGCCCATTTAGAGATGATACACATGATGATGATTTACCGTTTTTTTCATCATGGTGATTTTCCAAGTTAAATAACCAGAGGATACATACCTGTAACCTCCAACCACATGTCATGTGTGTGTCTGAATTTGCGGTATACTATACCCTCTATGGCAATTTTGATATGTGTGTATATATGTATATGGAGGTTTCCGTTTTGTCATAGGGGTACCTCCAGTCATCATCCATTTTATAGATGGGATTTTGCCTAAAATATCATGAAATAAACCATCCTATGGGGTACCCCCATGACTATATGGAAACGCGCTGCTGATGCAACGGCCAACCCCTGAGCATCCAACTGCTGCCAGAACCACACGGGCATCGGCAGTTTTGGTCACCTGGCTTCATCCCGCAGCATTGATTTATGTGTTGTCATCCTGGAGTAGATAGAATATGGACATGTCAAATACACTAAAATGGGAACATCATTGAAATGTTCACATTCAACTTAAGGATGATTGTGAATACATATATATATATATTATACATATTATACATATCATGCATATATATATAATTATATATATATATATATATATCATATGTCTCTGTATATGTATATATATATATATATATATGTCATATATCTATGTATGTATATATATATATACACATACGTGTGGATATATATATATATATATTAATATATGTATGTATATACATAATACATGCTTTTTCCCACAATTTCTCCATGACAATAATGGGAATACTATTGCTGTTCGGAAACCGCCAGGCAGCCAGGAACTGGACAAAAACATCCTCTGACCTTGCCAACGGTGCCACTGTGCATTCGAGCCTTGGTAGAGAACCGGACCCTCCAACTGGTTGATTTCATATTGGGTGTACAACCAGAAAGTACTCGAGGGTGCAGGCCAGGGTTAGTTTTATGGGTATAACTATAGTCTATAGTAGTAACCTCCATAAGATCCATAAGATGGGATATAACCCCGAATGAACTATGGCTATACTGGAACTGCACTTCCAAGCATTCCTTCAAATGGCTACAGCTGCTAGCTTGCTGAAACACAAACTTGTGCGGTAGAGCGAACCGTGATTGTTATTTTTTTTTATCAACACCTTGTCATGCAGTATGACTAAAGCTATTTTTTCATCAACACCTTGTCATGCACTATGACTAAAGCATGATGTCTATTGATGTCTTATCCACAAGGTATTGTTGATGAAATGACCTTTCAACTAACAACTAGCAGCATTTCATCAACTCATAAAGTATAGGAGCTTTCCGTTAAGTCATCCATTTGATGGTTGAAACCCCTTCCCCGCATTGGCACCAGAAATTTGGTTGGCCCTACTAGCCCTGTATCCTCATGATCTCCTGAATGCTACAACAGGCTTGACTCAGACAGTCGTGTCATTATTGTATTTCTGCATTTCTTTAACCATCATAGGGCTACCCCCCAGTCATCATCCATTTTATCCAGCGGGGTATCCAGGCGATGACCACAGTGGAGCATGTGTCCAGCCCCGCTCGCATCAGATCTTCGGCCCCTTGGAATGGATGGAAATGGATGGAAAAAATGCTTGAAAAAATGGATTCATAGTACCCTCTGGTAAACATACAAAAAGCTATTGAAAATGGCCATAGAAATAGTGGATTTACCCATTAAAAAAGGTGATTTTCCATAGCTATGTTAAATTACCAGAGGGTATTACTTAGTAATATCTATGGGCAAATTCTGGATGAATCGTATTACTTATAGTTACTTATAGTTATATCTGAATGTATCTGAATATAGTTCTTACAATACTAATAGTAGGGCTCTGAATATATCTGGCCAAATAATAACATGTATGATGATGCAAACAGAATAAAGAAGTAATATTAATGATATCGGAAAATACATGAAAATACCATCATACTTCACAAAGCCCAAATTTTTGGCTGGTGCCCCCATTGATCATCCCAGTGCCGCTTCCCCCATATTTGATGAATTTGATGGCTTTCCTTGAGATTTTCCCTTCAAGCAGACCATTCGAATGTACAAATAGTTGGAAAAAGATGTAAAATATATGGAAGATAGAATGTACACTTGCCCAAGTAGCATGGCCACTATGGCCCCCTAACTTTGATAATGGGGATATAACGTGGGACAATGAATCCTGATGATTGGCATTGAAGAGATCGTCGACCGAACTATCAGATATGATTCCAATCTTTAAACCTATAATCAGCTATAGTAATACAAACAGTGATGCTGCAGTTAAACGTATAGCTTATCAGTGCGAGTATTTATAGAAATACTATGTTCCTTGTTAACTGACAATATACCATGAATCCTTATTAAGTGATACTACCTTATTGGAAAAATCATCCGAAGTCTGTCTCTTTGGGGCGACTTAAATTCCACAGTTTCTGAGGGCGCCACTAAGGGGTGAGCCGGACAAAAACCACACCTCAGCTGTGGTGGATGGATACCTGTGATGTAGCATAAATACATAATCTGGTTTATAAGTAGGTAGTTTAACTATGGCTGATGGTGATTGTTGTTACCTATCTATCGATATATCTATGTATATATGTATATGTCCAACGGGATTTATAAACCAATTCAACCTCTGGTAATTGCTGACCGTTTGCGAACATGGCCAGCCATGGCCCCATGGCATAGTTCACCCCGATCGCTGCGGATTGACCCCCAAGAATGGTGATTTTCCATAGCTTGCTGTATGTTTACCGGAGGATACTGCATGTGAAATAGTTGAAGTTCTTCCGTCAACAGCGATTTCGCTCACTTTGCGAGGCATGCCTCCAACAACCTTAATGTTGTAAAACAGCAAATTCGACAGGGGTTTCAGCAATAGCATTCAAGGTGGTGCCCCCCCCAGTTATAAATGGGTTATAATCCCATTGACTATAGATATAACATGATATAACACGTATAAACCATAGTTATTGGACTTATAAACCAACTTCGCTAACTATGGGGCACCACCTTGTTGAAGCAAAATCCCATCCGCTTCACAGCTGGGCTTCAAATTTGGGCCCCCCCAACTCGCTCGAGATGACAAATCTTGTGCCAATCCACAGGCCTTGTTTGGAAAAGATCCGCTGATGGCATACCCTCTGGTAATGACTAACATAACTATGGAAAGATCCACCATGTTTAATGGGAAAATCCACTATAAATGGCCATGTTCAATAGCTATGTTAAATTACCAGAGGGTAGTTCATGGATTGATCCTCCAACATGGCATGGGCTTAGTCAGGTGATTTTAAACCAATGCTCTACTGAGGATCTGACTGAAGTTCCCCAAGGAATAAAACAGATGGTTGGCTGTCCTGACATGTGGAATCAGCATCCATGGGGCTGATCCCAGATTCCTGTGACCTTTTGAAGTTTTCGACATGGCTTCTCCCTCTCATGCACTGTAGACCTTCAAAATCCCTGGGGCCCTCAAGCGGGGTTTGCAGGCTTCTCCCGCAAGTGTTCGTGTAGCCCGACCCAAAATAGGGGGTGAGTGATGCAGTGCACAAGCGCTGACGGGTGCCTGGTTCAGCTCCAACCGATCGTCACGCAGGGACTGCCACGGCCAATCACTTTCGGCCCATTGAAGGACCCAGCAGGAGTACATCGCAACATGCCATCGTTATCACAACATTTTTTTACATACATACATGTGTGTATATATATATATTCAAATTTTGATTTGCAAAGTTTTCTGAGCATAATAGAATATATTATAATGGTATATGTATATATGTGAATAGATTATAATAATGGTATATGTATATACGTATATACTGGTAGAAATAATGATAGAGACATGGTTTTATAATTATAATTGTATATGGTGTGTATATATAGTTATAGATAGCTACAATATATATTAGTATATAAATAGTATATATATATAATTTAATTACATATATGTTTATGTACGGATTACACGCGAAGTAGCTCTATCATCACGGCAGCTCCAGCCTTCATGAAGTGCTCGATACCAATGCACGCTCCAGTCCTTGGGGTCCAGTGATACGAGATTCCGCCTGGGAACTGCGTGAAAAAACCCTGGTTTGATGGTGATCCTTTCAGTTCCCTTTCAGTAGCGATTCTCCCATCTATGGCTATGGGTGAACAATCTGGCTATGAACAGCTGGCCAAGTTGTGGAGTGATCCTCCGGGGTATCTCCCACATCCTTTAAGAAAAATCCCTGGTGTTTCAGAGTCGATGATTTTTAACTGGTTATGAATCAATGAAAACCTGCTACCTCAAAAAAAATTAGATGAACTCAGTTACTGAACTATCCATAGTTTAACTCTTTATCAATTAGACATATGATGAAGCCACTACTTATCTTAGTAGTACTGATATCTTACTATTATATACTATTATCATATGGGAAATTACCATTACTTATCAAGTACCCAATTACTTTTTTGTGGCAAAACCAATGAAAAAGAGGTCCACCTGGGGACAACATGTGAACACCAACTGGGCCAAGGTTCAACCTGGAGCTTCCCACCGGGATACTGGAAACTTCCGTGTCCTGAGAGCAGTTCCCATCCATTATGGCAAGTCCCCACACTAAAGGATGGTATCTTCATACTTGGTTGTAATTTGCAAACGGGTACCAGTACCACACATGATTCCTATCAACTGAGACACTGCACTAGTCAGCAGACTGCATCAGGAAACACTTGGAAACTCGGAGTAGGACTATGGTCCATGCCTTTTCTAGGGGCATTTAACCGCACAAGTTCACAACTAGACATCTCTCCACTTTCCGCCGAAGAGCGCCCACGAGACAGACCAGCACATGTCCTCCACAGGGTGAGGAGCTGTGGAAGAAGTTTTCATGCCGCGTCAAGTACTGAAAGGCTGGAAGGTTGACTTCTGCTGTAAAGCCGATCTGCCAATCAGCAGACTTCGCAATGGATGTGACTAGCTTAAGTTGATCCCACCCTTCATCCCACATCATCACGCTCTACAAAGATTGACAGCAAAAGGCTTGGAAGTCATGAAAACTGCTGGAACAGCTCCGGCTCCTCCCGATGTTTTCAGAGACTTTGGAGGTTTTCTCCTCAAGAAATGCGACAGAGAAGCGACGACGCGGTCAACCCAGAAGCGGCGGGTAACCTTGCCGTGACAAGATCCTGAAATCCTGGTTTCCGGTCATGTTTTTTTACTTGTAACACCCCCCAGTCATATAATCAGGTTATACTTATATGGCGGTTTGGGTTGGTGGTTTGGAAGTCTGGGAAATCAGAGTTATGTGCAAAATAGATTTGAAAAATGTTTTTTTTTGTGTGTTTTGTGTTTGTTTTATTTTTTGTTTAACTAATCTAATCTAATCCAATCTAATCCTAATCTAATCTAATCCTAATCTAATCTAATCCTAATCTAATCTAATCCTAATCTAATCCTAATCCCAATCTAATCCTAATCCCAATCTAATCTAATCCTAATCTAATCCTAATCTAATCTAATCCTAATCTAATCTAATCCTAATCTAATCCTAATCTAATCCTAATCCTAATCTACTCCTAATCCCTAATCCTAATCCCTAATCCTAATCCCTAATCCTAATCCCTAATCCTAATCCCTAATCCTAATCCCTAATCCTAATCCCTAATCCTAATCCCTAATCCCTAATCCTAATCCCTAATCCTAATCCCTAATCCTAATCCCTAATCCTAATCCCTAATCCTAATCCCTAATCCTAATCCCTAATCCCTAATCCTAATCCCTAATCCTAATCCCTAATCCTAATCCCTAATTCTAATCCCTAATTCTAATCCCTAATTCTAATCCCTAATTCTAATCCCTAATTCTAAATCCTAATTCTAAATCCTAATTCTAAATCCCTAATTCTAAATCCTAATTCTAAATCCTAGTTCTAAATCCTAGTTCTAAATCCTAGTTCTAAATCCTAGTTCTAAATCCTAGTTCTAAATCCTAATTCTAAATCCTAATTCTAAATCCTAATTCTAAATCCTAATTCTAAATCCTAGTTCTAAATCCTAATTCTAAATCCTAATTCTAAATCCTAATTCTAAATCCTAATTCTAAATCCTAATTCTAAATCCTAATTCTAAATCCTAATTCTAAATCCTGATTCTAAATCCTAATTCTAAATCCTAATTCTAAATCCTAATTCTAAATCCTAATTCTAAATCCTAATTCTAAATCCTAAATCTAAATCCGAAATCTAAATCCTAATTCTAAATCCTAATTCCAAATCCTAAATCTAAATCCTAAATCTAAATCCTAAATCTGAATCCTAATTCTAAATCCTAATTCTAAATCCTAATTCTAAATCCTAATTCTAAATCCTAATGCTAAATCCTTATGCTAAATAGTAATTCTAAATCCTAATTCTAAATCCTAATTCTAAATCCTAATTCTAAATCCTAATTCTAAATCCTAATTCTAAATCCTAATTCTAAATCCTAATTCTAAATCCCAATTCTAAATCCTAATTCTAAATCCTAATTCTAAATCCTAACTCTAATTCCTAATTCTAAATCCCTAATTCTAAATCCCTAATTCTAAATCCCTATTCTAAATCCTAATTCTAAATCCTAATTCTAAATCCTAATTCTAAATCCTAATTCTAAATCCTAATTCTAAATCCTAATTCTAAATCCTAATTCTAAATCCTAATTCTAAATCCTAATTCTAAATCCTAATTCTAAATCCTAATTCCTAATTCTAAATCCTAATTCTAAATCCTAATTCTAAATCCTAATTCTAAATCCTAATTCTAAATCCTAATGCTAAATCCTAATGCTAAATCCTAATTCTAAATCCTAATTCTAAATCCTAATTCTAAATCCTAATTCTAAATCCTAATTCTAAATCCTAATTCTAAATCCTAAATCTAAATCCTAAATCTAAATCCTAATTCTAAATCCTAATTCTAAATCCTAAATAAATCCTAATTCCAAATCCTAAATCTAAATCCTAAATCTAAATCCTAAATCTGAATCCTAAATCTAAATCCTAAATCTGAATCCTAAATCTAAATCTAAATCCTAAATCTAAATCCTAAATCTAAATCTAAATCTTAATCTAAATCTAATCTAATCTAATCTATCTTTCTAAGTATCTGTCTATCTGTTTGTTTGTCTGTCTGTCTATCTATTTACTTATCTAATATATCATATCCAATATATCTATTTGTTTGTCTGTCTATATGTCTATCTATCTATCTATCAATCTATCAATCTATCAACCAATCTCATATATCTACATAATCTATGTATTTATTTGTTTGTCTATTTGTCTATCAAACTAGTCTAATCTTCTCTGATCTTATCTAATCTAATCTAAGCTAATCTAATCCAACCTCTCTAATCTTTCAAGTCTGTCTATTAATCTATCTAATCTATCTAATCCACCTAGTCTACCTTTTCTATCTGATCTATGTAATATGCCTACTCTATCCAAGTGACCTTACCTATCTATTCTATCTACATGAAAGCAAAGCAGAGAAAAAAAAAGTTTCTCTTGAAACAAATTCCATTGCGGTCCTATCCTGTACAGTACTCTGACTGATGCAGGTTTCATGGAGTTTCCATGGAGTTTCCATGCAGTTTCCATGCAGGTTTCATGTTGGTTACATGCTGGGTTTGCTGATTTAGCTTACTGGTGGGTAACCTCCATGACAACTCCCTGGAACCTGCATGGAATCTGCATGGAACCTCCATGGAACCTGCATCAGGCAGAGTGCATGGTAAAACCAACAAGTATAGATAGAGGCATCACCTCCATAACGCACATGGAAACTGCATGAAATCTACATCAATTCTCCATGGAACCTGCATGGAACCTCCATGAAAACTGCATCAGTTAGAAGGCGCCATGCAACCATCACGTTTAGACACAAGAAACAACGGAACCTACATGAAACCTCCATGAAACCTACATCAATTCTCCATGGAACCTGCATGGATACTCCATCAAAGAAGCGCCATACAAGCACCAGGTGTAGATACAGGGAACAGAGACTTTTTTTTTAGTGGACACTACGTGGAAACCATCAGACGCTTTGACGCAAATTGATCGCAAATCGATCGTAAATCGATCGTAAACTGATCGTAAAAAAACGCACAAAAACTGTCATAGCATCTGTGCATTTTGATGTCGTTTTCACTAGGTCATCTGTCTTTGTTGATGTCCCTTTTTGTTTCTGCACTGGAAAAGTCAATTTCTTCCAGAGTTTCTATTTATCCTGAGTGTTCACTGCTTGGTGGTTTCGATTTTGGCAAGGTTTCAAATGTGAATTTTTGTTTGATGTCATTTTGATGGAGTTTTATGTCTGTCTCGGTGTCAACTTGATGGAGGTTCCTAACATATAATATTGCAAACTAAGTTAATTAAAAGACGAAACCACCAAGAGAAATGAACTCACTTATGTCATCTTGGATTCTATGATCACCAAACCATATGAATATATGAATTGGCAAGTGCCGTTTTCTACAGGCCTTAGGTTCTTGTCGATGTCATATTGATGTTGTTTTATGGCCTTCTTATTCGTTTTTAGGCCGATGTCAAATCGATCGACAAAGGATCGCAAAATGATCGCAAAACAACGTCGAAATCCTACATCAAAATGACACATTACAAAGTCCACACTTGAAACCCTGGCCTTGCCAACATCAAAACCGCCAAGCAACGAACACTCAGGATAAATAGAAATTCTGGAAGAATTTGACTTTTCCAGTACAGAAACCAAAAGAAACATCAGCAAAGACAGATGGCCTAGTGAAAACGACATCAAAACGCACAGATGCTATGACAGTTTTTGTGCGATCAATTTAGTTACGATCGATTTGCGATCGATTTGCGATCGATTTGCATCAAAGCGTCTGATGGTTTCCATGTAGTTTCCATTTAAAAAAACTCGAACATGTTCCCTGTATCTACACCTGATGATTGTATGGCGTCTTCCTTGATGGAGTATCCACGCAGGTTCCATGGAGAATTGATGTAGGTTTCATGGAGGTTTCATGTGGGTAACCGTTGTTTCTTGTGTCTAAACGTGATGGTTGCATGGCGCCTTCTAGCTGATGCAGTTTTCATGGAGGTTCCATGCAGGTTCCATGGAGAATTGATGTAGAATTTCATGCAGTTTCCATGTGCGTTATGGAGGTGGTGCCTCTATCTACACTTGTTGGTTTTATCATGCACTCTGACTGATGCAGGTTCCATGGAGGTTCCATGCAGATTCCATGCAGGTTCCAGGGAGTTGTCATGGAGGTTACCCACCAGTAAGCTAAATTTGCAAACCCAGCATGTAACCAACATGAAACCTGCATGGAAGCTCCATGGAAAATCCATGAAACCTGCATCAGTCAGAGTACAGGATAGGACCACACGGTTTCAAGAAACTGTCTTTCCCCCATTTCAAAAATAAATAGACAAGTACAGAAAAATGCACTAGAATTCAATAATCAATTAAACAATCACGTGAAATTATTGGACATTAAATAAGTGTACATTTTCCGAGATACAAGATGAATATCAATTCAAAAACAAACCTAATCTGGTAGCAATCATTGTTGTTTTAAATTTGTTTTCTTTATTTTCAACGATTTCATTGTTTGCAGGGTTTGATATTTTTTGTTTTTTCTAAGTTTACAAAACCATCAATTCCCGGACTTCCAAACCACCAACCCAAACCACCACGTAAGCACAAGTTGATATAATAGATAGGTTTTGAAAATTGCTCATCCAATACATCTATCAATGGTTGGGGTCCCCAAAAACATACGGTAAGTTGTGTTTCCAGGACGTGAAAGTTTCAGGATGACTTCCCCATAATTTCCAGATTTCCAACTTAATAGAGTTTCACACTCCCATAAATTGTCATAATCGCCAATATACGTATGTATATATATATATTATGGATGAGTAAGCCCCGAACCAATTATCAATCAACATCAATCAACATCAATCAACATCAATCAACCACCAATCAACCATCAATCAACATCAATCAACCATCATGTATGAGATATGTATTCACATATTTCATCACTGTATCCACAAAGTTTGATGCTGAAAAAAAGCCTATGGGATGACTATTTCACTTCACCAATGCTGTCTGTCGCCCTCAAGGATCCCCAGGTCGAGATCCCGGGCTCTCCCAAGGCATCCCGTCGACAACCTCAGACTTAGGGATGTAATGGGAGTTTGATGGGACTTAATGGGATTTCATGGGATTGAATGGGATATTTATCACCAACCATTACTATTGGGGTGTGTCTGAAAATGGGGTATACCACACCATTTTAGGATTTGTTCATCGGAAAGTTAGTTTTGTTCACTAGATCCACTATGGTTTATGGATGTTTCTGGCAAATATCACTGTTAAACGGGGTCCACATTCTACTCTTCCACATGTACACAAATTGAAGTTATATACTAGACAGAGATGAACCCAAACATAGGATTGATCGTAGATGAGTAGATGATAACTAGTAACTAATAGCGTATGACGCTAAAAAATCGAGCAATGCCTGACACCTGGTCCATGATCCCTTTGCATCCAGCAGTGAGTTTCTCCAACTCAGGGCCAGGCGCTCCAGCAGTGCCTCCAGTTTCTCCAACTCCTGTTTTTTCTTCTCATATTTGTCCAAGGCTGCATTCGCAACCTGACCAGCCGCACAGCTGCATTCTGAGTTTTTTTTGAGCTCAGAAAGTTGAAGTTTCAGAATTCCTACATAATTTTGTGGCAGACAAAAATTCAAAGGTCGATACACTTCCAAACAAAATCAACAACTGCTTTGTTCTGGGAGGGTTCAACATGCTTCAAGGCCCATTGGCGGTCAATCTTTGCTCCGGCTAAAAGTAAGCATGATAGATCAGAAAAACAACATCAAACAAATGTGATCAAAAGTATAATTATATACATATAGCACATTGAATATGTATATACATGTATAAATATTTATACACCATAATATATATATATATATACATATCTATACTATATCACATGAAATCAAGTGCATGTTTTTCATCTTCCCAATTTCTCCAAAAACATGTGGAAGGGACTCAGCTTCCAGCCTTTCCCAAAACGCCCTTCTTGTCATCCTGCCAAAGGTCATGTGAGTTTGTTGGAACTGGCCAATGTTTGTCCAACGTTTTGAGTGTCTTGGTCGAGGTTGGTTTGATAGCCAGGAATGTTCTAGATAAATCTTGCTTATCTAGGGATAACAAAGCATGAATCCTGGAATGACTATATATCTAACCAACCTTGATTGGACAACCCTGGAGAATGTCCAGAAATATGTTAGATAAACGACAGCCAACATGACACTTGGTTAGATAACCAGAGGGATTTCCATAGATTTCCAGGGTGTACTGCTATCTTTACCTGCAACAGGAAGGTCCTGGCTTTCAAACAAAGGCGATGAAAGTAAAGGGGCTACAGGATCTACAGGAACATAACAGCAGCAATCCAATACTCTCATGCACCTCTGCCTGTTAAGTCTTGGAACAAAGAAAGGGTCGACTCAATCCAGTGCAAGTTTCCCAAGAAAAATCATGTTTTTGTCTGATATAACCTCCTAATGAATAGAGTTTCACCCCGGGAAACTTTATCAACACATCAAACAACCACCAATCAGCATCCAAAAAAGTTCTGCGACGTCATCCGCTGGTCTAATCATCATATTCCCTCCTGAAAAGATGTCCTTTTCACTGGTGAAATCCTCCAAGATTTTGTGATATAAAATTCCCTACCCTCTGGTAAACTAACATAGCTATGGAAAATTACAATGTTTAACAGGGAAAATCATCTCGAAAGGATATTAGAAAGGGATCATTTTCTATAGCAAACTGTTAGTTTACTGGAAGGGTACTTAAAATCATTGTCAAAGGAATTATGTTAGTTCACTTAACTTGATGACTTCAGATGATTTTCACTTAGTTCATTGTCCCTGGAGGGGTACTGAAAAAGTTTATCTTAACAGGATACAGTTTTTTCATCGTTAAAAAAAAGCCCCGTATATTGGGGGTTCAAAAACCCGTTTCCACCGCCTCGTCATCGAGGCCTAGCTCCTCTTGAACTTGCTTTGCTCCGTGGCTCCGAGGAAACTGGCAACGCGCGAAGGTTGGACAGGATTCATTGGAGTGTGTCCAATGGGAGAACCTGTGAAAAAACGGGTGAATGACAGTGGATTTGTCCACAAATCCCCATGGATTTAAGATGTAATTTTCAGAAGGGTTTCCTATGAAAGACTGCGAAAAGCATTCCGTTTCGAGGTTTCGTTGGCTGGAGAGTACGATAGAGCACTACGAAGGCAACTAATCTCTAGCTTCAGGGGTGTGACAATTTTCTCTAAAACATGCCACCCAACCAGTCAAGAACACAGCGATTTATAGCCATGGCCGAACTTGACCTGGGTTTGTCCGGAAAACATCGGAAAACATGCTTATCCTTGAATCCATTGATTAATCATCCTGTGCCCACTAAAACAACCATTGTGGGGGGAGACCTCATTTTCACACCCTCAACAAGCTGCAAGCGAGATGGCCGAACCCTGCGTTCAAAGGGCTTCGTATGTGTGGCACCCGCTACAAGATCAGGATGGAGGCCTTTCCTCAGTCAGCATCATGCTGTTTGCATCCTTGAAGGACAAGATTTCTTTCTTGGCAAGTGATTCATTAACACTGATTGCACAGATTTCCATTAGGAAAACCAGCAGGCCTGCAGGATGTCATGAGGAGGTTATAGAATTTCATAGGCCCCGAAAATCCACATATCCATGGAACATCACCATATTTTCTTCGCTAAATCATCTTGAAATTGACCATGGTCGTCTGGGACTCCGCACTCCAGGAACCTGGAAGTTGTTCAATGCCGGCCAGGCTGGAAAAATGATGCTGGGCCCGCCATGTTTCAGGGGTATCTTATGGTATCCTCATTGTCAAAGAAATCCGCATGGAGATTTCCTAAAATATGGACATCCCAAGTCCCAAACCCTTGGTTTTTTGCAGTTTCCCAGTAAAAATAACCCAGTTTGGATGATTTTCGGGGACCCCATTTTTTTTTTCGAAACCTCCATATGAATCCGCTAAAAAAGCACAGATTCAGATGTGTAGAAATCTCATCCGACTCAGCACCACCCTAACAGGACGGTGATCGCTGATCGTCTGCACAGAATCACGGGCCTTTTCTTGATGTGCAGCATGATCTTTTCGTACTGTTCGTCCATGTCTTTCTGTGGCAACAGTGATGCTGAAAACGCATGAAAACGGGCAACTAATCATATTAATCATGTCAACAGCGCAAGCACCAACAATCATACAGATTTAACAATGAACCAGAGTCAAATCCAGCAATCAGGATGTGATGAACTATTTACCTATTGTTTTTCTGAAATCTTGGATCAATGTTGGATTTAAGCTCCAATGATGTTAATGTTTGTGTTCAACAGCCTGACAATGTCTGACAGCCACCAGCTTCACACCTTAATCTCCATCATTTCCCCGGCTTTTTCCTTCATGTCCAGTGGACCCTGGCGTTGGTTCATCCGTGGTTTTTTAGATCCGAAGAGGTGGTAAATGAATGTACATCCCCGGAAATATCGTATAATAGGTGCTGATCCATCCGTACATGTATATATATAATAATAGTAATAATAATGATAATATATAATCATAGTAATAATAATAATATATAATGAAAAATATAGTAATAATAATGATAATAACTAATAATAAAAAGTCATAAAAAAATTATAATGATAATCATAATAATAATGATGATAATGATAATAATACTAATTAAAAATAATAATATATATATATATATTCATGCGTTACTTGCCTACATAGAATGAATTCCATAATGTGTAGTATCCCAACAATAATGATGAGTATGCATTGAAGATACTAACAATTAAACCCAGGAGATTCTCGTAGATGAGAAGCGAAAACTCTTGAAAATCACCGGCCGCAAATACCGCTTGGTGGTCTCAATCCCCTCCCAAAAAAACAAACTGAGGTCATCGGGGATCCTCCCAAAACATATCCAATTTCTTGCAATATACAACACATATTTTGAAAGCATCAACCAGATTTTGTCGCATCAAAAAACAGATCTACTATCTATAAAACAGATTTAACATACCATGTGTTCATGGTTTTTGCCAATATTCTATCATATTCTATCATCAAAAGTTTTTTTTCCAAGAGATTTAACAGATAGAAAACCACCAGAACCCGCCAAATTTCCAGGTCCCACAGCTGGTTCCACAGCCGGAGCCACAACACCCGTAACGTCTCCGACTCACCTTCGTGAGCTGATCGTCACCCTGTGGAGTCATGGCCAACATCCTGGACCAGCGACCAGCAACAAAAGGCCGTTCAATTTTATAGATATACCCTCTGGTTATTTAACATAGCCATGGAAAATGGTCTATTTATAGAAAATGATGATTTTCCATGGCTATGTTAAATAACCAGATGGTATATCTATAGATGACTATAGATATTTATAGATATCTGTATTTCTGGATATGGATAGTTTCAATATATTTACAGATGTTCGTTTTTAACGGGTGCATATCGTCTGGTTGATATGTGTTTGAGTGAGGTTGCAGGCGCCTCAGGGTATCTTCCTTCTTTTTCTTCCTGGGCTGGGCTGCTGGATCCCTCTTCCAAGGCTTCTATGCGAACTCTCCAAGAGGTGCTACAAACATCTACGAAATAGATATAGAAACCAGATATTTTATAGATCTGTAACTCTTCAGATCCAATCAAATCAAATTATATCAGCAGCAAAAGTCAGTTCCATGTATATATATATCAGACTCTTCAGATACAATCATATCAACAGCAAAAAATCAGTTCCATATATATATATATATTATATTATATATTGTATATATATTATATATATCATATATATCATATATATTATATATATTATATATATTATATATATTATATATATATTATATATATTATATATATTATATATATTATATATATTATATATTATATATATTATATATATTATATATATTATATATATTATATATATTATATATTATATATATTATATATAATATATATATATTATATATATTATATATATTATATATTATATATATTATATATATTATAAATATATGTATATATATATAGTTCCTAGACATCCAGTGACGCGATGAATTTCCTGTGGCAATCAGCCCCTTCGCGGCCAAAAACTGAGACCTCCACCCCAAGGCCATCTGCGCGATGCCACCGGATGTTCAATCACCGAAATTCAAAACTTTCACTTGATATTTGATATATGAGGCAAGTAAGCTACAGAACATACATATATATATATTATATAATCATATGTGTGTATACATATATATATAAGGTTATCATCTGTCAAGTGGAACTATGTATATATATATATATGAGCGATCGGCAAAACCTCAATTGAAAAATGCGATTTAGGGTCAAAGTTATCGTTTTAGGGACTTCACTATATCGTTTTACAGTATATCCTGATTGCATCATCCGCATCCCCTGGCAAACTGCATGCGGAAAGCCTTTTTACACCTCCACTTCAGCGTCTGAAGCATCTTTGACTGCCCTGCGTTTTTTTTTTTGCAGCGCCCCAACTGTATGGTATGGTACCTGTCAATGCAACTGCAAATCACAGTTGCACCATCCTTTCTCAAGCTCAGAAACAAGTTTGAATTCAGTTGTTGGTAAGAAGTCTGGATGAGCTCTCACAGCGACATGCTCCATGCCTTTCATTCACTCCCCAGCATCTGGGTAGCAAACCATCAACATGGTCCAATGCTTTTTCCTTGGCTATCTCCATCTAGGATAAAGATCGCCAAACCGGACCTGCAGGTGCAGGTGTGCCCGAGATGAACCAGGATTGGCTAAAGCAATGGAGCGCCGCAAAAGAATATGCATAGCAGCGAAAAGATCGCAATAAGCAAGTGATAATATTCAACGGCAAAGAATCATCTCAAGAATCTTTTCGCATCTGGGCCATCCATCAGCGAAGGACATTTTGCCAAGAAATGGCTATCGTTTCGTTATCGTTATCGTTCAAAGAGGGAAACATTTTTGGAAAATGGCATGAACGAAGGAATGTTGGAAAGGAGGTCTGTTGTCATCGTCAATGCTTGCATGAAAGCGGCACAATACAAAACGCTCATCCGGAAGGCTTGAACAATGGCGAGACAAAAAGAGCATCCAAATCCAGCTAGTTGCCACATACTGTAGCAATACGTGCTTGGATACAAAACTGTTTGCAATAATCAGAAATAAAGACGTTGGCCAGGATCAAGAGTGTCAGCATACTTTTGCACATCTTCCGTTGTGTGAGCTGGGCATGACGTATACCCCACAAGTGAGAGCCTAGATGATCTAGATGCTTCTAGAACAGGTATCCACCATCATGTATGTACACCACCCCTTCACATCCCAGCACGCTTTCACACATGAACTGATTCCGGTGTTATCCTTTTTGGGACTTCACTAAATCGTTTTACATATCAAGACGCATATTTTTACATGATAAATCGCTCGAATACATACCTCCTACACGGAGAGTGTATATATATAAATATAAATATAAATAAATAAATAAATATATATATATATATATATATATGTATGGTCCCGTCCTCCGTCTCTCCACCCCCCCCATGGGTTGGGTCCCCAGGTAGCACCCCCCCTTCCCTTCTATTTGCAAGCTATTGGCAGCATTTCTGAGGTCCAGCTTCGTATTTGCTAGGTCTTTGCAGCATTTCTGACTACCAGCCTCGCATTTACTAGGTACATGCTACCTTTTAGGCGACCTACGTAGCACACATACTCCTCAAAGTACCTACGTGACGCCTACGTGCTACCTATAGTCATATATACATGTGCTATGTATCTACTTCCCATTTACTACCTGTGTGCTCTGACAACACTACATGTGTTTAACATTCACCGTACCTACCATACATTCCAATGATGCCATGCATACCATACCTATCATACCTATCATACATACCACACATACCATACATATGAAACATAATTACCACACCTACCATACATACAATAGCAAACATACATGCCATACATACCATACCTACCTTACATAGGAAACATTCCATACCCATTACAGTAACCATACATACCATGCAGACCGTACATACAGTCATATCAAACATACCATACCCAACAGACTTACATACCATACCTACCGTCCATACAATACCACCATTCATGCCATACATACCATACCTACCATACATACCAAACATACCATACTTTCCAAACATGACAAACCAGACCGACCATACACACCATACATACCCAACATACCATACCACACCCCCACCACACCACGGGGGGGAGGGGGACAGTGCCACACCCCCACCACACCACAGGGGGAAGAGGGACAGTGCTGGGTCCCAGGTAGCATCCCCCCTTCCCTTCTATTTGCAAGCTATTGGCAGCATTTCTGAGGTCCAGCTTCGTATTTGCTAGGTCTTTGCAGCATTTCTGACTACCAGCCTCGCATTTACTAGGTACATGCTACCTTTTAGGCGACCTACGTAGCACACATACTCCCTCAAAGTACCTACGTGACGCCTACGTGCTACCTATAGTCATATATGCATGTGCTATGTATCTACTTCCTATTTACTACCTGTGTGCTCTGACAACACTACATGTGTCTAACATTTACCGTACCTACCATACATTCCAATGATGCCATGCATACCATACCTATCATACCTGTCATACATACCACACATACCATACATATGAAACATAATTACCACACCTACCATGCATACAATAATAAACATACATGCCATACATACCATACCAATCTTACATAGGAAACATTCCATACCCGTCATAGTAACCGTACATACCATACCTATCATACATACCACACATACCATACATATGAAACATAATTACCACACCTACCATACATACAATAGCAAACATACATGCCATACATACCATACCTACCTTACATAGGAAACATTCCATACCCATTATAGTAACCATACATACCATGCAGACCGTACATACTGTCATATCAAACATACCATACCCAACAGACTTACATACCATACCTACCATCCATACAATACCACCATTCATGCCATACATACCATACCTAGCATACATACCAAACATACCATACTTTCCAAACATGCCAAACCAGACCGACCATACACACCATACATACCCAACATACCATACCACACCCCCACCACACCACGGGGGGGGGAGGGGGACAGTGCCACACCCCCACCACACCACAGGGGGGGAGGGGGAAGATCTCATATGGGGCCAGTATATGGGACCCATCCCATGGGGGGCAGGGGGGGTGGCAGGGCCTGGTGCATATATACACATATGAGATCATATGAGGTTGTCAAATCCCAAACAGAGTTACGAGGTCATCATCAAAGGGACACTCATCTGACTCAGAAACATTTTGGTCACAGCCACAGCCCCAACTGTCTTCGTCACCTTGGTCTGAGCCTTTTCGAAGACCGGCAGCTTTTTCGGCATTTTGGATCTCCTCAGCGATGGATCTAAGCACCATTTCTGGTTGCTTCACCTGCATGTTTGATGGTGCCACCGTGTTTCCCTGCACGTTTGTTCCCCAACAAAACAACTTAATGGGATCATGGCTTCTACTTAGTGGCTAGGACACGGACAGTCATCGGTTTATGGTGAACAAACCAGGTGAAAGCAGGGAAATGGGGATTGTAACCACTCGCTCACCCGGTGATTCGCAGGTCATGACTAGGATCAGACCAAGTAAGCGTGGTAGTAACCATCAGCCAACAGATTCAAAAGAAACTGAACTCTCCAAAGCTGCAAAGGAAACCAGTTCCATCTATCTGGGGGGAGGTGCATGCTCGGCTAAAACGCACTTCTAACGTGGCGACACAGGACACACAGACCCCAAATGCCACAAAGGAACATTTCAATAAACTCTACTTTTGGTGCAAGTGATTTATAGTGAAACCATTGCAAATTCCCTGCTGCTCGTGGCACCCATTGCAGCTACAGCAAGTAAGAATCCCAATACCTGTTCCGATTTGTGCCATGGTAAAAACACCATCTGGTATGATCATGAGTATGTGTTCAAATATGGTACTGAGTCGGGAAATGACTAAACAAACAAATCCCCAAAAACACCCCCGGAGCAGATTGGTTCATATACCCGCTACCGCTACAGCCTTTGGTTGAACAAAAACACCTAGAAGATCTGATAATGGCACCTCCATCTCTGCCTTTGTTGCTCAACAGAAAACAGAAAACTTGACCCAAAAAAACACAAGTCATTGGGAATCAACATCCCAGGGATGGGACACGAAACCAACACAAAAACAAATGTAGTCTATCTGTCTATCCATCCATCCATCTATATGCCTTTATATTACATGAGATCTGACATCTACATATATATATATACACCATATATATTATGTATATAATCCCTTCCCCCTATTCCTAACCCCCCCCGCGAATAATAGAAACTAAGGTCCATCTCCAATTTTGGAAAATTTCAGGTTGGCCAATTTGACTTTTAGTTGATCCGCTTTAGAAGCTTTAGAAAACAATTTAAAAATAAAGCTACTATTTGTGGGTTCACCCCCTAATAATAAACACTAGTCAACCCCGGGGTGTTTTTGTTAGGGTCCGTCCGAAATTTAAATTAGGGTCCGCTTCGAAATCCAATTTTTGGCAATATTTTAATTGTGCTATAAAAGGAAATTTAAATGATTTTGACATCGAAAAAATTAAAGGACCGGATAACCCCACATGTCAACTTCTTCCAACAAGCAGCAAACGAAAGGTAAAGATGGCATGGGAAATGCAGGAAAAAGAAAAGAGATGGTGAAGGATTGGCGTGTGCAACAAGGAACCCGTGTGTGAGCAAGTCGTGTGTGAGGAAGTTGTGTGTGAGCAAGTTGTGTGTCGACAAGGTGAATGTGAGTAAGTTGTGTGGTGATAAGTTGTGTGTGAAAAGTGTGTGTGTGTGTGGAGAAGTTGTGACGGGGAAGGAAGGAAAGACAAAGGAGGTGGTGAAAGAGGATCGAGAAGTAAAAACAGTTGTGTGGGAAAAGTGGTATGATGTGGTATGTATGTATGTCTGTCTGTCTGTCTGCCTGCCTGCCTGTATGTATGTATGTCTGTATGTCTGTCTGTCTGCCTGCCCGCCTGCCTGCCTGTATGTATGTCTGTC